AGCCCGGCTTCAAAGGGCGCATTTCCATAATTGCCCTGTAACTTTGGCAAAATAAATCTGAGCGGCTGGGAGAAGCACAATCTCTCAGATGAGTGCACTCCAAAGGCCCCGGAGTGCTGTAGGCTCACTTGTTCCCGGCCTAGTGCAGTGAGAGAATGCAGGCCTCGTACCCGGCACAAAAGCCATGAAATCACAGCCTTGCCGTCCAGGCCGGCCAGCCGGGCCCCAGAGTCAGGACTTGCCCTGCTTTTGTGCCCTTCCTGCTCCCTGACACAGGAGGTGCACCCCCCCCCCCCACATACACACACGCAGGCAGGTAAAATAATCAAGAAAATAAAGAGATGCATTTGTACCCACGAGGGGTTGGCATCTGAGGGATGCCCATAGCTATGAGGTGGGCCCTCCTCTGTGAGAACCTTTGTGTCACCTGCTGCTGCTGACAGAGATCCCCGGGAGAAAGGCCCCCCCTCTCCAGACGCACGTGCTCTTCGGGGTTGACTCCCTCCCTTTTACCCCAGAAGGTCCCACCTCCAGCAGCTCCTGCCCCCAGCACCACCCCAAGTAGAAGCTCGCTCTTCTTCCCAGGCTTGGATGGTTTCCCGTTTGCTCCTTCTCTCACTCTGACTTCCCTCTTCTAGGGAAGGTTTTAAGGAACAAAAACTCTCCACTCAGCACCCTGTTCTAACGTTTCTGTTAACAGAGCTGTGGTTTCTGGGAGAAAATTCTTGCCCTGGCCGCTTCAGACGCCTCTCCTGCCTCAATGCGGAGGTTTCTCAACCTTGGTGCTACTGACCTTTTAGGCCAGATAATTTTTTTGTGGTGGGGGGTCCTACTTTGTGCCTTGTAGGACCTTTAGTGGTACCCCTGACCTCTATCCACCAGATGCTAGCAGCACCCCATCCTAGTCATGACAATCAGAAATGCCTCCAGATGTTGTCAAATGTCCCCAAGGTGGAAGCTTGGGGGGAAGAAAAAATTGCCTGGTTATCTACTCCAGTCATACCCCACCCCTAGGTCAAGAAGAGAAGCCCGGATGGTGGTTTTCCATCCAGGCAATTGGAATGGCCTTTGGAGGCCATTCACAGTCTCCTCAGAGGGGAGCTGCAGCCACATTACAGGTAGGCTGATCACACACTAGGTGGGCATTTTTATTTTTATTTACTTATTTTTTTAGATGGACATTTTTAAAGCAGTCAAGTTGGCTAATGGGATCTGGTGGCAGTGGCCAATTAGGATCAAAAGGCAGTATCCAGAGAGGTTATGGGGTCCCCCCCACACCTTTATGCCTAATCCTGGACACACTGGATTTGCGGGAACGCTTGGGTTAAGTCCGTCAAATCCAACCTTCGCCGTTTTGCAAAAGCTGAAAGTGGGTCTAGAGAATATAGGAGACTTGCCCCCACTCAAGTTGGAGTTAGTTAATCACAGACACAATTTTTACACCCTGCAATGGCCCGTGTTCACTTGTTGGGGGTGAAGGGTACACACAACCAGAAATTTTAGGATGCAGAGGACATTTCTAGAAGGATACAAATAATTAGTCCCAAAGCAAGTCCCCGGCAGAAACTCCAATAACATAAAAACAGTAGATGTCGGATACCCTAATTCCTCCCCAAGCATTCAACCCCTCTGGCTCACCTTCCAGAAGGCAAGCGGGTCTAAGACAGTGGAGCCTTTGGTGCAGGCTGTCCAAAGACACCGATCCAATAGGTGGGGCCCTGGCCTCTCCTCACTCTTCACCTGGGACAGGTGAGTGGCTCCTGCTGCCCTAACCCTCTGGTCCTTCCATGTTAGTTTCTGCTTGGACCCCATCTTCCCCACCCTGTATTCCCCCCCAGAGAAATTCAACTGGAGGGCATTAATGTGCTGGTCCCCGAGGTGGATAGTCACTTAGGGAGATAATTTTATTCTCCTCTGGTTCCCTGGCCCTGAGATGCACCCGCCTCCCTCCAGCTCCATGAAGATAATGAGGGAAGCAGTGCCACACTTTCCTTCCTCTGACCTAATTGATTAGCCCACACACCTCGGAGTGCTTAGCATAACCAGCCCCGACAGCAGGCACCCCTTCCAGGTGGAGTGATTGACATTTTATTTCTAATTGAAGCTCAGTCTGGACCAGGGCTGAGATTCCCATATTCTTTCTCTCTCTCCTTCTCTGAGAAGTTTTCCTAGTTTCCTTTTAGATTTGGGGGACCAAAAATAAGGGAGGCAGTTTCTGAGGTTCCTGAGAGGAGGAGGTCCTGGCAGGAGGCAAGGAAATGAGAACTTGTTCCCTGGTGAAATGAAAGGACTGGAAAGGAAGGCTGTCTCCTCTTTTTTAGCTGAAACGCTGTGAGACCTTTTTGTTTTGGTTAGATTATCTCATTAGGGTCACCCTGGGGCCAGGTGAAGGGCCCATGTATTCTGGGGGATAAGAGAAGTGACAGAGGAGAATGGCTCTCAGGTGTACGTCATCTGTCTTCTAGTACCGACTTCAACAAGGTCCATTATCCCCAAAATGTGACTGGCTGAAAAACTGTCCCAATGCCAGGGTCTTTACTGGAGAAGGACCCAGGGACCTGCACTCAGGTTTCTCCAAGCCCCCTTCAGGCCTCTGCACTCTCACGGAGTTCTGAGCAGACCCACTGCCTCCACCCTGGGTGGATGTCGCTGTGGAAAGGCTGCCTAACTTGTGCCATCACACCCGGGATCACAGCCCCTCTCCCTGCTGTGGGTCACTTGGCAAATTCCCTTTCTCCCTTGGAGAAGCTGGGGCCCCAGAGGATTTGGAGGGTCTTGAATGTAGACACTTCATTTTTATGAGTGATGGAGGGAGGGGGGGCACTACGGCTGGGAGTTCGAAGAGTGGAGTATGAGATTCTGGAGTGTGATTCTAGGAGCAGAGTTGTTTATGCCCGACCGCTGCGAGGCAGCAGCACCGACCAGGCTTTGCCAGGCCACTGAGTTACCCCCATTTTGCAGAGGAGACAAGAGGGCACAGAGAAGTTACTTGTCTGCCTAGGAGGTTCACAGGAGGCAAATGCTGCCACAGGTAAGCCTGTGAGGCAGGAGAGGGAGCATGTGAGGAGGAAGGTGGGGTGTTGTCCTTGTAAAGCTCTTCACTGTCCTGGCCTCTGCCTCAGAACTGGTCCTAAGTTCCTGGCTTCAGGTTCAAGGCCCTGGCAGTTGAAGTCCTCTCCACCTGGAAGCTGTGAACGGGGCCAGAGAGAAACCTGAGTCTGTGCTTAGGACCTGGGAAAGGGCCTGAACCCCAGAAAAAAACTTCAATAAAGAGCAGGGAAGAGAGGGGGCCGAGGGCTGGAGCCCAGACTGCCAGGGCGGGTACCTCCACCCCTCTGGCCCCAGGGGGACGCAGCACTGATGGCCCCAGCCTCAGAAGGGACCCCCAGCGGTGTGGTTCTGGTTGCTGTGCCCCCAGGGACACAGTCACTGCCTGGAAGGTGTACTGTGCTGTCTTGTTCCTCGGGGTGTGAGCTCTTCACAAACGTCTCCTGGAACCCGACGGATTGTCACCGGGGTTGAACACCGGACACGTGCCCCCCATCCCCGCCCCCCAGTTACTAAGGAAGGAGGAGCTTGTAAAAAGGCGCTCCCTCCGCTTTCTACCCGGAGGCAGCACTCTCTCAAGCGCTTCCCTACAACTTCTTCAAGTCAAAGTTGGGCAAGATGGGCTGTTGGCCTGAAGGAGGAAAAAAAGGGCGCAAAGGGGGCATGAAGCCCAGCCAGCTGCAGAGGCCGCCACGGCGAGGTGCGGAGCGGCCCTTCTGTCCTGTAGAGGGAGCTCCAGCCCCAAATTTGTCGGCTCCTTCCCCCGGCCTGTCCACTCCAGGCCAGCCTGGTGCTGGAATCTCCGCTGGAGAGGGGCAGTGGCCCGACCCCCTTGAGCCCCTGGCTGATCTCAGAAACCTGCCTCTCCCAGGTCACTTGGGAAAACCCACCAGGGTGTCAAAAGACATAGATGCGCCAGGCCAAGACACCGGCTCCTCTACTCTCAACTCCAGCCTGTCAGAGACAGTCTCCTGGAGGGAAGAATGTGAACCCCTAGATTCCCGCCCTGTCCATGTATCCCCGCCGTCACCCCACACCCTGGCATCTAAGGAGGAAGGGGTGGGTGCGATGTGATTGGAAGGAAGATTGGAGCTGGGAGTGCACAGCCCCTTGTGTCAGACTGAGAAAACCTCAACTGTGCTTATCAAAGAATGGGGACCAGGGGAATGATGAGAACCTCCCAACCCAACCCGCTGCAGTCAGATCCTTCTTTAAGTCTTTTTGCTCTGTCAAGACCCCGAGGAGGTTTCTCCCTAGACTGGCGGGCTGGGCCCACGGTTCAGGCTCCTGACAAGGAGTCTCGCCCTGGCTCCCACCTGTCTCCGCCGCCCTTTCTCCCAGGTGCGTCTCCAGCTGCCTCTGCTCCCGCCGTGCCTGGCCGGCTGCGCCTCCTGCGCAATGCTACTGCCTCGCGGCACAGTCCAGACTCCTCTCTCCTCCTTTCCCGCTGATTCGGAGATTCTTCGAACTACCAGGCCCAACTGGGGTGGGGTGGAGCCAGGTGGTGGGGGAGAGAAACAGGAAGAAAAAAACCCCAACAGGGAACAAGGGCGTTGAGCCGGCAGACGGTGGGTTATAGTCAAAGTGGCAACAGCTCATTTATTTAGCCAAAAATAGATATTCTTGTACAATTTGGATCACACATATATACATTCTTCTGTATATACAAAAAAAAAAGTCAGACGCGCTTATTCTCACTGAAACTTCACCCCCCAAAACCAACCAGACAAACCTCACAAACGCAGCTAGTGCGGGGTGGCGGAGAAGCGAACTGGGGGAGAGCTGAGGCGGACTGGGTTTTATTTCTTTTTTCTTTCTTTTTTTGTTTAGTTTTGTTTTTAGGTATTTATACACGGACATGCTTACAAGTTGTACTATACAGAGCGGGCTTCTTCTTCTTCTTCTTTTTTACAATTATTACAACGATTAAAAAATTTTTTTTTTATAAAGAGCTAGGATGAAGAGAGAGCAGACAGGACCAGAGCTGCGTCCAGGTGGTTCTGGGCCCTGGAAGAGAGAGACAGTGGTAGCAAAGGAGCTGAGATTTCTGGGTGAAATTTGGGAAGAGGTGGCTGCCTAGGGCGGGGAGACCCTACCTGGGCTAGGGGCAGGGAAGCAGGGAGGTGTCGCTATGCAAAATTACGTCCAGCTGTAGACGTAAGTTTGGGTTTAACGGTAAGGTGGTCGCGAGGCATCAGGAACCCAAGGTCCCAGGCTGGAAGGAGGTGGGTGTCACAGAGCTGCCGCCCACTCTTGGGGCCTCTGGGCTGAATCAGGCTTGGGTACTCCCAGCACTGCACCCGTGGGCTGCCCTGAGACTGACGAGCTAGGCCGACCCTGGCCAAGGAATGAGCTTCCTTCCCTTTAAAAAAGAAAACGCATCCCAGCTGCCTTGCCCCTGGGCAGAAGGCCCTGAGTTGGCTGGGCTTTCTTTCTTTCTCTCCCAACCTCGGGGTCTCTTACCGCCTGGGCACAGGCTGGAAAGCTGTCTTGAGTAACTTTTTCTCCACTTCCAAGGCACTACAGCGATCTAAGGGAAGCGGGGAAGAAAAGAGGAGAGTCTTTAGAGTGGTCAGTTCCGGAGCCCAAGGCCTCTGGCGGCGGGAGCCGAGAGGTTCTCACCCTGTGCCCCCCCAGGCCCTGCCCATCCCCGCCAGTCCGGGCGCGACCCCCAGAGCCCGCCCTCTCCGTCCACGCCCCGCGCTCAGCAGTCACCTGTTCCGCCCTCCGGCTCCGCGGGCCGAGCGAAGGCAGCGGCGGCGGCCGCAGCCGGGTGGCCTGAGGCTCCGGGAAGTCCCAGCAGGTGCGGAGGGGTCGATCCCAACAGAGAGAGCGGGTGCGGGCGTGGGCCGGGCGGCGGGCCTGGGAAAGGCCGGTTGGCCCACGCTGGGAACTTGCCCAGCGGCGCCGAGACCAGTCTGTGAGCCGCGGCAGCGGCGGCGGCTGCGGCGGCGGGAGAGAGCCGCAGGGCGGGGGGCGCTACGGCTGCCCCAGGGGGAGAACCCCCTGCGCTGGGAGGCGAGCGGCGCGGGTTGTCCGGGCTTGTGGCCGTCTCGGCCAGGGACCAAATCTTGGGCTTTTGTAGGGCAGAGGCGGGCGCTGGTGCGGGAGCGCAAGGGTCCAGGCCTGCGGGGGGCGAGGGCGGAGATGGTGTAGCCGCAGCCATCACCGGTGGTGGTCCTGGGGCCAGACTCAAAACTGGCAGTGGTCGGTCCTCCAAGCCCTCAGTGCTGTCTTCGGAGTCACTATTTTTGGAGTCCGAAATGGTTCCCAGGCCGATGTCGCCATCCCTACGCGCCGTCCCGGCCAGGGACCCCTCAGGCCCGGCGACCGCGCCGTCTAAGTTCTCCAAATCGATCTCTTCCTCCTCGTCGTCGTCCGCCAGGCCCTCGCCCCCCGTGTCCTCCTCCTCCAACTCCAGCTCGCGTCTGCCATCCTCCTCGTCCTCCTCCTCGTCCTCCTCCTCGCGCTCGCTCCCGTACGCGTTGCCCTCTTCATCAGTGCGGCTGCGAGGCGCCCACGTCATCTTGTTCTCCTTCTTGAGGCGCCGGCGCGCGTTGGCGAACCAGGTGGACACCTGGGTGAGGGTCATCTTGGTGATAATGGCCAGCATGATCTTCTCGCCCTTGGTGGGGTAGGGGTTTTTGCGGTGTTCGTTGAGCCAGGCCTTGAGAGTACTGGTGCTCTCCCGGGTGGCGTTCTTGGGACGGGACGGGTCCCCGAACTGATACTGGCCATACGGGTAGAAGGCAGGGTGTGGATGCGGAAACGCTGCGGCTGCGGCCGGATGCTGCACCCCGGGGCTGTCCTTCAGCTCATACTGAGCACCCTGTACGCGCACGGGAGAGGAAGGGATATGCCGGGAGGGAGCGCGGTGAGCCCGGGCCGTCGCTGCCTCCACCCTCCCGTCCTGCACCCGGCTAGCCTACTCCCGCGCGCTCACCTCGCCCGGCCCCCCAGCTCCACCCCCCCCACCCTTCCCGGCTCTTTGGGCGCTTACCAGCTGCGGGAAAATGGGCAACTCCGCCGCGTAGGGCAGGAAGGCGCCGTAGCCTTGGGCGGCGGCGGCCGCTGCTGCGGCCGCGGCATAGGGCGCCCCGTACACGGACGAGAGCACGTTGGACAGGG